TGAAAAACTCCTTAGCCGTTGATGTTTGTTGGCGTGGTTTCTATGAGTAGCTTTTAAAATTATCTATTAATCTTTTATCTGTTTACAAAATCAAAATTCAAACTGACGGTATCTAAGTATCACATGTTTTACATAATTGGATCTCACATGCAGTGTTGTGCACGGACAACCAAGTTCATGTAGCTGCAAATCAATAAGATCGTGTTGAAAAGCATGTGTGGCACTTCATCTTTCCACGAGTGTTGTTTGACAGGAGACAAGTGAAACCCAAACACTCCGGATTACTTTTCTTCCGATGAACATCTTTATACAAACTGTAATTATTCTTGTAACTTAATCCCACGGTGTCTTCCCTCGAAAATCGTGACAATTCGTAGCTCACTGTAGTGTTGCTGCATTGCGTCGGGTTGGGAAAGATGTTCGCGGTTAGCATTTGGGGAGGTCAGGGAATGACAAAAAACGGTGCACTTGCCCTGGGTAACCAGCACGTGGTCCACTGTTCCATGACAGAGGTGTAAATCTGACAAACTACTCTTTTTCCCACGACTGATTAGATTTATCTATTATATTTCATTTGTCAATTGACAAATGTGTTAACTGTGCCTACCCCATGATATATTCAGAAAAAGGTTTGACGGGAAGCAGTTAAAACAAATTACTAAATCACTACCTGATTTATGTATCATGAAAGGAGTTCTGTCGAAATGGTCTCTAGGAATTCTGGTTCTGCCAGTCGGATTGTGCAGTTCGATGGGAACTGCGACTGATACAACAAAGAAAAATGGAATCTGTTTCGTGTAATTTTTGTTTGAACGCATGTGATACCATCAGTGAAGACCTCAAGCGCTTAGCGGATTCTTAAAAAAATTCATTTTTAAGTTACGAAATTTGTCAGCGGCATCTAGTCAGACTTCGATATAGTTCCACCCAAACCAACGTCCATCCACAAACCTGACATCCTTTTCTTCACCAGTTGTTATGCAGCAAATGTTGATGTCTTTCAGTATCTGCAAAATGTTTTATTTTGTTCATTTCGTAGTGAATGTTATGTTTCTGTTTTAGTGGGAACAAATTAACTTTTATTTCAGTAACGTATTTTAAAAAATTGTGAATATGATACATGAATAACATTTTGGAGGAATTGGCTATTGTGCGCACGCGAGCGGATCTTTAGCCTTCTTTATCATACCAAAATTTGTTGCCAAGCGAATATACCAAAATGTACTGGTCTTTAAAAGTGAATCTTTATCTTTGATTAGATTTTACTGAGTATCACCAAGATTTTAGTAAGTAAAAATTTACCAATGGTGATTGTAAGACATACTAGTTGGATGGTTTATGTAAAGGCTCATTACCTGAAAATAATTGATCACATTGGGGCAGCAGAGATCAAACTTGGTGAAGCTTATTAAGTACTTTCATGTTTCATATTTGTACTACTTATTCAACAATTGATTTCGGCAAACACAAAATTTATTTCATTTGTGTGATGAAAAAATTTATTTGAAAAACAAGGTCACTCATAAACAAAGGAGAAACAATGAAAGGTGCAATACGCATGCAATGCATGTCAAATGTTTACCCTCATAAAACAGAATTGCGATTTCCATTCGAAGTGGAAATTCCACCTTCATCTTAGTTTCACTTACGCAACATATTATTTCTTGATCATACAAAACTTTCTTGATATTTTGATATCATTATGAATCATCATGTGGGATAAAGCTTCTCTCTCATGATAGTTGTAAACAGCCGCCCTCCTCACAAAATACTCGGTTTATGATAACAGCAACATCAGGTTAATTATCGACTACAGTGCTCGTGTCGGCAAACGTGAGCCATGCCTTATATGTCGATACTGATTAAATTGGGGATCATGAAATCGATCATGTGACCAAACGGCTTACCAATCAAAATATATGACTAAAGTTTAGAAATGAACCATGACCTGTCATCAAACGGGCTTTTGGACACGGCAGAACTAAAACGTTTGAAAGTTTAGGGGAGTAGTTTCGAACAAAGTTTTCTTTTGTGCTGTTTACTATAATGCGTTACAACGAGCTCGCCGAGTATGATGAGAACACAAAGTACCAAAAAGACCAGTCTTCTTCATCGAGCTCCAATAGATGCAAAACACTTCACCCCAGTTACTAATACCTGAATAACAATATACTTATTTTTCCCAAACACAAACTAATGGCATCCCTACGATTGAGACGTTTTATGTTCATTTTGTTAAAATTACTGATTCGGCTTTTCACAGAGGTTGCTGGTTCTTCATACGGTCAAGGGTTTGCCGTCTAAACCGACAGTTTGCCGTTCAAATCACACGAGAGAGAGAGAGAAATTCAGCCCTCCGGATTAAGGTAACAGGGGACAGTTACCTTCGACTATCAATAAGAAGGTATTATATGGGAGTCTGCTAGGATAACATAATCACTCCGATCTTTTGAGAACCATTCATGCTCTTTCCGGATAAACTGTTGTCAACATGTAAATATGGACACAACGGTAGGACGGAGGATTATATTTTCAGTTAAAACCCAGGAATCATCAGTGTTGTCTAATTGCAGAACTGTTCTTGTGTCGACATAACACATCATTTTATCTCAGCTGAGGTCAACTTTACTGCGCGCATTTCATCAAAATTGACCTCCATTGTAGGGGAACAGGTTTCACGAAAACAGTAAGCTACAAGTCTCAGGCAATATGTTCGACCTAATACCCAGTTCATCTGAGAGTAGTGGAGGATTTTGCGCAATCAAATGATAAATTTTGTTGTGTAAACAAGCAAAGAAGCTAGGAAGCACAGCACAGCTATTTCGACCTGTCTCATCAGCAGTGCGAATCTACCCGTATGGAATCTACACTAGGTGTATTTCTTCCTAAGAGCTTCTCGCGAATCTGTTGCTGCGACAGTTCACTTGTACACAATCCGAACCCGTTAATCTAGTTAGAGAACGCACCACAACCGAATATTTGACGTAAAAATGTGTATAAAATGCATAAAAGCCGTTCAATTAGGTAGTTTTTACAATCGATTTTCTTTTTCAACCAGCTTATTGATCTGATCCCGTTTCAAATTTGAACACCAGTGTTTCTAAACTTCAAACCCCTATCAGATAACTGGCATCTGAAATGAGCACCCTATATGGGCTGATTGATTCACTAAGCAGATTTAAAATCCAACAATAACACAGTAACTGATCTAGAAATTTTTCACATTTTGTCCGGGGTTTCATATATAACTTTGTAGTTCTTTTGTAAAGTTCTAATTCTTCCGAGGATACCTTACCGTTGCAAAAGCAAGCTTGCTTTACTTTGGTTCCCAAATACATCGATGGAGTAAAAGCATAATAACAGTTCAAAATAGATATCTATGAGTTTCGAGGACTACTAAAGAAAGCTCTTGGATTAAAACGGATGAATGGTACATTGTCTCTTTGATTCAAAATACATTATTTAGCAACTGTGGGAAGTCAGATATTTCATAAAATCGTTTACCAATTTTTCGTTTAAATCACTCTTTAAGTGTGTAAACCAAAAGCGCTTCCAAATTTCGTTTGATTATATATATATTCGTGTCAATCATAAAATATTGTTTATTCAGAATTCGAACAATCGATTTTAAATAAAAATGGACATTGCACCAAATGAAATTAAAACACGTAACGTACAGTTTTCAGGAAGGGGTGAGCAGTCATTCAAAGAGCCGCCATTCACCACACATAATGGGAAAAGTCTGGCGATGGTGGTGGGATTCGAACACATCCCCAGGATGATAATTTGGTGACGTTACCACCGGAGCACCATCTATCATACACATTGTACCTATTTATTGTAATTGAATTAGATTACACGAATAAATACACGCGAATCGGGTTTTCTGATAGCGAAAACTAATCACGTTAACTTTAATTATACTCGGGTTTGATTTCGATCACGTGAATGATATATATGTGATGCAGCTTGATTAATGCCATTCGCGAATTTCGTTAACATTGGTTCAGAAGGACCATTTTTACTCGTGGCCTGTATTCGATTTAACTTCATAAAGATAACTCTGAAGTAGTGAGATAAACCTGGCATTGGTTTATTTCGGTTATTCCTCAGTAGGTGGTTTCGTTTGTTGGCATCAATTTTACCGTGCCCCGCAAAAAAACCGAACTTTTAAACAGAATCAGACAGTAGTGGCCTAC